AAAAGAGAATTATAATTGTGCCTCGTGGTGCCCTGTGTGTAGGATAAATTTAAACTAATTAATTATGAGATAGACTGCGAAATAATATATAGTATGAGCAGCTTGTTTTGCACAATTTTCCAAAAACTTCCAATGTACAATAAATAATATTTAAGCCATCAAAATGAATTGGCTCCTGTGAACGTGCGATGATTAAAATCAAGTACTTCTGAAGTACAGACGGATATTCGAACCAATTTGCATCATATGCTGAAAATCCAATTAACGAAATTCGGTTGATAACGTGGGTTCCATAATAGCAGAACAAAATTGGCCATAGCATTGAAGTGCCCATACAGATAATATGATAAATGATCAATACAATGTCAGCACTTGATGTCTGGAAAGAAGATAGAAATTTCGTTGAAACTTTGCACTTTTTATCAAAAAAAAATGCTCACGTGTTCTGCATTGTAAAGCGCCAGAGCAAAAAAGATGACATTGGCAGGAAGAAGCCAAAATATGACTCCACTGTTCAAGTCAGCGACCATATTAAAAATTCTGAAAGAAAAATTAACAGCAATAAATGATTCAGTTTTCGAGCTTAAGAAATTGAACAACTTACTCATACATTTTTGTGTGAATATTTACAGTTTGCGCAACATTGTCTTTCATTTTACCATACTTTTGTTGATATTTTGCGGAATTTTTTTCATTATTGAGCTGTTTTACTTCTTCATTCAATGAATAAGTTAGAAAATCAAAATGATCACAAATACCGCCGAGATAGAAGCAGCAACAGACGAAGTACGTTGAAATCGTAATCATGATTATAGAATAAGTCACACCAATACTGGTGTCAACAATCCAGGCCATATACCATCCGTGAATTGTGTCTCTATCAATTGGTAGACTGAAGAAGTACAACAATTTCCAAGTTGATGTATCCCGATTTCCGTTTGCATTGCAAACAATGGAGTAGATGAGAGTACCCACGAACATCAATTTCAATGGATAGCAGCCAATGATTTTGGTATACTTTCGACACTTTTGCTCAACTTGCCAATATATATTGAACACTTCCTTTCGATCTAAGTGAAAACAAGAGAAAGACACCATCGCATGATTTGCATTAAAAAATTGATAAAAGGAAATGTTTCGTACCCTTGTCGACGAGCTCTTGTAGTACAAGATGTAATTTTTTTACTTTTTTCATGTTGATTCCGATGCATATAAACATACCCGCCACTTGTATGCCAGCACACGCAACTAAAAAGGACTCCGTGATCATTTCGAAGTTATGTATGTGTACATACATGTACACGACACTTGAAATGATTGTAAACGATATTACATTGAACAGAATGTAGAGAGCAACAAATGATCTGTAGAATTCATTGGTCGGTTCGTTCAAGTGCTTCGAATGAATTCCCAACCAACCCATTGAGATCTGATTGTATTTGAGTACTTCGAATTTTTCCATTTTCACAATTTTTATTATGAGTTTTTTTTGGATTTTTATTTTAATGTGGTAGTTCTCTTTGAATGTTAACACGTTATTGGCTTTAATTTCAATTATCCTCTATTAGAAAAGGAATGAACAACGAATAAAAAATTACAAACTGTGCAGTTTTATTTGAAAAGTAGCGACAATGTTACTGCTCGTATTCAAATGCATGTTGGTGTTTTCATCGCTTATATACCATTAGTTTCATGGCAAACATTGCTTATTTTTAGAAGGTAATAATTAGTTATTCAAATTTGACTGTGAGTTTGAATTCCGAATTAACTTGATTTGCGTCATTTCCATTCCAACTTCTTCGTATTAAATATTTCGATTAACCGTTATCGGCCATAGATACTATTTTGAAATTATAATAACTGGAATTGTGTTGAACTATTTAAAATTAAGTGGTATTTTTGAGATCGAAATGTAAAACCTACAGTCGTTGATGGGTTAGTGATATCATAATAATTTTATGGCAGAAATCATAGCAGCTTTGTGTACAAACAATAATCAATATTCAACACGATACATTGGGAATAAAAGCTTCAAGAAATTTATCAATATTGCACAATACTGTGTCCTTTTTTAAATACTAAGACTACTTCTTCACTTCACAGTATTTTTTTGTATAATTTTCCCACCAAACAATATGCATTTTGAATGAGAGGAAATTTATTTGGTGCACATTTAACTTTTTATTTAATATAAAAAAGCAATAGGGAAAATATCTTTTATTTCACCTTTCTCGATGTAATGAATAAAGTTATTCCAATCTCATGACAAATAATTTGGAATGTGAAAAATGCAAGAATAAACTGAACTGTACGCAAGCACTTGAAATAAGTTTTAAAAGGTCCTTTGCACACTGATTTTCTCTAAAACATTCACATTTATTTAACTGGGGTTTTCCGTTTTATTTCGAATTGAAGTAGTGATTAAAGTACTTCTTTAAAAAACTATAGTTTACAAAAACTTTTACGGATACAATTGTTTAATTAAAGGGTTTAAAGTGTACGTTAGTAAGTTTTTAACCTTCAAATTTCTCAAATAGCTTCTAACCTAGGGGGTAGACATGATTCATTTGATTCACTGTGATTCAAAAGATTCACATTGTTTAGTGACATTTGAAATGTCATTTATGTGTCATACAAGAAATATTTATTGAACAATTAAAATTATTTGTTTTCGAAAAAATGATTTCTTGACGTTTTTTAAATGTATTAACTCATTATTTTTTATCTATTTCGTGTTTTTCTAGTAAATTCCAAATGAAATCAACGATAATATTTAGAATTTGTTGAACGATCATGTTAGTAAAACTAAAAGTGATGCTTATTTGACATTTGAATGATTCATTTGATTCACTGTGATTCACATGATTCAAAGTTTTATAATTCGTGTCTACCCCCTTGCTTCTAACATAAACATTTTTGTGCTTTTATTGGTGCTGAATAGAAATCAAACTTTATAAAGTAAAAGTAAACTTTACTACTCGTGCATAAGGTTAATTGAATTGATAGATGCAATACGTCATCACTCGAAATTTGAACTAACATCCATTCCAAAAAACTAGCATAAACAAATGAACATTTACTAATTACTAGTCTTTTCGGTATCAATTAGAAAATATTTAACTTAACATTCTTATTGATTCCAAATGGATGGAAATAATCAGAGCAATCAATGCTGAGACAAATTCCGAAACAGAATATAGAAAGAGCAACCTCTTGACAAAATTTTGCCGAAAATTTCCAGAGTACATCGTATTAAACCGAAGCCAGTGAAATAAATCAATTCCTGTGAACGCGCTATTATCAAAATCATGAAACTTTGATATTCAGGTGGATAATAAAGCCAATTCGCATCATATGCGGTGATTCCAATGAACGAAATTCGATTGGTGGCATGGGTGGCATAGTAACAATAAAGATATGGCCAAATCATCGAACTGATTATGCAAATAACATGGAAAACCAGCATAACCCAATCGAAAGATGACTTGAAAAGAAAAAAAAACAAATAAAATACATGAATTTTGTAGCTAATTGATGATAGTTACATGTTCGGTGTTGTACATGGTTAGCGCTAAGAAAACCGCATTTACAGGTAACAACGAAAAGATGGCTCCACTATTGATATCGGCTACAATTTTGAAGATTCTAAAAAAATAATCGAAAATAATTTCGAAAAACAAAAATGAAAAATTGTAATTAACCCACTCGAACACCGTATTATGAACTCTAATAGCTTCAGAAAGTGTTTCTTTTATATTTCGAAAATTATTTCTATGCATTGCATTAATATCAGTTTGGTTCCTGTCTTTTTCTAGAGAGTAAATCAGATAATCAAAATGATCGCACAGAGCTCCAATATAAAAGCAGGAACAGACGAAATAGGATGAAATCGTAACCATGACCAAAGAGTAAGACAGACCAGTATTAGCTTGAAGAAACCACAATAAATACCAGCCATGAACAGGTATTGTATCGAATGGAACGCTCATTTTATATGGTAAGATCCAAGTCAATGTGTCTCGATTGCCTTTAAATAAACAATAAAAGGAGTAGAGTATAGCCGCGACAAACATCAACATGAGAGGGTAGCATGGCATCAATTTTGTGAGTCGACGACATTTTTGTTCAGTATTCCAATAAATGTTGAAAATTTCCCGTTTATCATCTGAAATTAAAGTAATAAATATTTGGAGTAAAAATGATATAATGCGTGTTCACTTACTTTCGTCGATGATCTTTTGTAATTTAATATGTAAATTTTTGATTTGTTTCATATTAAGTCCAATGCTCATAAACATTCCTACATTTTGTAGGCCGGCAATCACTATCAAAGATGGCTCCGAAATTAATTCAAAATCAGACGCATTTTTATACATAAACACTGCACTTGACAAAATCGTGATGGAAATCGCACAAAATAAAATGTAATAGGTACCAATTGACTTGAAAAACTCATTGGTCGGTTCATGCAAATTCTTCGAATGTATACCGACCCAACTCATTGAGATTTGATTGTATGCCATCACTTTGTACTTTGCCATCAAATATTTGTATTTGAAATTCTTCAACCTACGTTGTGATAATTAAATGTCAGACAAAGTGCACTTTGCTCAAGATGAATATAAGAAATGTGACTCGAAATTGAAATAGCAGTCATATTTAATGGTAAACAGTTCACGTACACCAATGACAAAATGGGTGGTAACTACTTGCATTTTCAATTGATTTTCACTTTCAGAAAGTATAATTAAGTATTGTCTGGCGCAAATCAAATCAGAGTAGGACTTTTTTGGATGATGAAAACAAAAAGACAACTATCGCTCCAATTTCAAGGGTAGTTCAATGTATTTTCAATTTGAAAATAGGAATATTTCACGAAAATTTTGAATTATCAAAAGATAAATGTCAAATCAGCTGCAAAATAGACATCCAATACAGAACTAACTTCATTCAAAGTTGCCAGACTCTACAAATGAAGGTGGAATAAAGTACTAATTAAAACTTGAAGTTGTAGCCTACTTGAATATATTTGTGGTATTTTCAACAGAATGAGAAACCATTTAAAGTGACTCGAATCACATTTTTCGATTTAAAGTGCATGGATCGATAGCGTTAATTCAGATTAACATTCTATTTCACCTCGTTCTTTTCGAATGTCAAAAAATATTCTATCTGTATTGATTTTTGTTCACTATTGTGACATTGCGACGATATTGCCGATCGAAAATCGTGTTTTACAATGGAAATGCATTCAATTCTTCAATTATTCAAAACAAAAATGAAATTTGGAACGATGTTTTCTACAAACACATACATCATTCTGCATTAACGCTTACTCACAATATCAGTATTGTCTTTCCAACTGAAAACAATCTGATATTGTATTTGTGATGGAAAATCCCATTGGAAACAACATGAAACTTTAAGCTTTGAGTCAATTCAAAAGCCACAATAAAAACATAAAACCATTCAAAGTTCGAACTGTTATTAGTTCATTTATGTCATGAATTGTAAATCAGGCCATCGAAACAGCTGAACAATCAATACCGACCAAAGTCATTCTATGGATTTAGAGACATTTCAGCAAAATTCAAGTTGTTAAGTTCTTGCTTCTTTCTTGTTGTGGCATTCTTAAATCTGAACCGATTAAAGCATTCTATTGAAAGTTTTCTCAAACTATGTGTTGCTTTTACATTCACCACTTCCATTGTTTAAGCGATCTGATATAAAAGAAGAACAAGTTAAAACCACAT